CTTGTGTTGTATAAATGAGGAGTGGGGGGGGGGAGTATAAATTCCTGCTCTTAACTTTCTATTTCCTTGCTTAGCCTTCTTTCCTCTGCGGCAACTGCGAATCCTTATCAAAATATGTCAAGGTCAACAGAGGCCTCATCACCACCTGAAGATGCCCACACAATCATATTCAGAACTTTTTATTGGAAGAATCTTTTGAACTTTGGGGGGTGGGAACAATTCCATCCCTTTGTGTATGTGATCTGCGCGCCTAATTTCTCAGATTCAGAATCCTACCTGTAGGTTCCACTTCGAATTTCAGTAAAAGAATCCTTTCCTCTAATCTATGGAGTCTTAAGTATTTCTTTCTTGGATTTTGAATGGAGCACAGACTGACAAAAGGTGCTTTTTCAAGAGGCCAACTTCAGAGATGAAGAAGCTTCTTGGACGAGCAGTGAAATGTCTTCAAAGAAAATCCAGAAAGTCCAGTTGCCTCTTGGAGAAAATAAAGCACCTTTGCGACAGCCATGACCTGGATGATTGAGCATCTCCACGGACATTTAGCTATGCACTTCGGGATGGACATCCTTCAAATGATACGGGGGGTATGAACGGATTCCCACAGAGCTGAAGAAGCGAATGTCACCTTTAAAAATTCAGCTGCCACATATTTTTTTAAAAAGAGAGTTGGAGGAGTTGAAAAGTTCAAGGTCATTCTGTATGTCCTATTAAGAAATTCCAGTGGCAGTTAATTGGTTCTGGAGATTTACGAAGTGTAGAAGTGGGAGGAGAGAAGGGAGGACAGAAGGTGGATTCTGTGTAACGCCCGAAAATAATTTCGCTTGGGAAATTGCCTTTGACATGCCAGATCTGTTTCTATATAAATCAATTGGAGAGAAAAATGTCTCGGAGTGATTGATAGCATGGATACTTTCTGGATGCCTCACAGCAAATTGTCTTCAAAGAAAAAGCTGCCCATGGAGAAACTGAGGCAAGACTTCTGCTGAGAGTTTTCCAAATTCCCCTGGGACTCCGCAGGGTGGCGAACGGAGGGATCTGGGATGCTGCGCCGGGAAGGAACCTGGCTCGCTTACCTTGTGGTTGTGGTAAGCTGAGCGGCTGGCGTGGAGGCTGGCCAGAAGGCTCTTGGTTTGCTGCTGGACGCTAGAAGGGGCCGGCGTGGAGAGCAGCATGGTGGCCAACTCCTGCGTAGCGGCCTTGGTCTTCTCCTGAGGGCGAACAATCTCAAGTCAAGACAGCGCTTGCTCTGGGGATTGGGAAGGCGCCCACCCACCCACGAGAAGGGAGAATGCCCATAGATCCAGGGGGGCGGGGCTGCCTTTCTGAATCTTAATTCGGATGGAGGAGAGGGAGGCTCATTTCCAGACAATCTCTGCTTCAGCACAGCGGTCTGAGAAGTTAGGAAGTGTGAGCTCCTCTGAGGCTTTGAGGCATCTCCATTCTCTTCCCCCAACCTCCCCACAAACACCGACCAACACCCACCCACCCAGCAAAGGAACTTGCCTTCTCGTTGAGTGGCCCGACGGCAAACCAACTTTCCAGGGCTTCTAAAGAACTCACTACTAGCCTGCAGGAGGAAAAGACAAGGAGGAAAGACAAGGTCAGAAAAGGCTCCTGAAGACTCGACACAAGACACACACACACACACCCCCGATGGCTCAAAAAGAAGGCGGGGAGCAGGTAGGGATGCCAAACCCTTCGCTCTGTCTCTCTCCCCCTTCCTTCCCCCCCTCCACCCTCCTGCCCCAGCGCAGAGAAAAGAATCAAAGCAAAGGAAGGAGCTGCTACAGGCACCATGCAGGTCTAAGGCAATCTTGGGCTCGTGTTTGGAAAAAACTCAGGGCACATCTCTGGCCAGGTCAGACCCCTGTAGTCCCTGATGGGGTGAGAGCAATAGCAATAGCACTTAAGATTTATATACCGCTTCCACAGTGCCTTTATAGCCCCCTCTAAGGGGTTTTTACAGAATCAGCCTCTTGCCCCTAACAATCTGGGCCCTTATTTTACTGGCCTTGGAAGGACGGAAGGCTGAGTCAACCTTGAGCCTGGTGGGATTCCAACTGCCAAATTGCAGGCAGCCGGCAGTCAGCAGAAGCAGCCCTGCAGTACCGCACTCTAACCACTGCGCCACCACGGCTCATCCCCATGATAGCGGTGAAGGTGAGTTACTTTCAGGAAGCTTGTTTTATTCAAAGAAAACACACATTGCCTGGATGCCCGCGGATATATATTACATCAACAGAATCCCCGCTATCTATTAACGGGGCTTCCTTGCTCTTATTAAATCCAGGCTGACTTAATGATGCGTGACAGGCGAGAGAGATAGACAGTGACTCTGGGTGAGCTACTCCAAAGTCTTCCAAGCGATCCAAAGTTCGGGCTGATTAATCTGCAGTTCTCTGGATTCTACTTTTGCGCAGAGGGATAAAGATACGCACAGCGATCTAGGTCTCATTTGCTCCTCCGCTTATTGTTCCCAAAGGTGCTTTACAAAAGGCAACTGGACATCCTTGGGTTTTTTTTTCCCCCTTTGAAAATGCTTTGCTTCTCATCCAAGGAGCTTCTTCAGTTCTGAGTTAAACTAAGATGAATTTAACTGGGGTGAGAAGCAAAACGTTTTTGAGGGGGGGAAACCCAAGTTTTTCCATGACTTGGATGGTGGAAAATCTCTGTAGATATTCCACTTATTTAACACAGATCTCTCTTCTCTGCCACATCACCAAGTCTGTTCGTTTAGGCTGCTGAGAGGAATGGATATTTATTTTTAAAAGAACACAACAGTTGAGCCTCCTTTTTGAATGGTTTCTTTTCCTTTGGAACAATTGTTGCGTCTTTTATCTACAACATTTCAATTTTGAGCTCATCCCTTCCGGTTTTCACTGTACATATCAGCCTGGAAAGAGCGCTCCAAAAGAGGGGAACTGGAAAAAAAAGAAAGAAAGAAAGAAAGAAAGGCAGAACAGACCCAACAAGAAGTTTAGTGAATTCCCTGTTTAAGAGGCTCCAACCTTCTTCATCTAGCATCTGAAACAAGCTATGAAAAACAACTTACAAAGAGGGAACTCCTTCTACCGTGTTGTCCCCGAAAATAAGACCTGTCTTATAATTTTTTTTGCCACCAAAAAAGGCATTAGGTCTTATTTTCGGGGGATGTCATCCACTGACTAACCTCACTTGCGCACATCGCCCCTGGCCTCCTTTTTGCTGTCAGAGGCCTTCAGGAACTTGTTCTTCTACTGCCGGCAAGGCTTTTCTGAAGGCCTCTGCAGCCGATAACAAGAGCTCTGGATCGATCCTGAGCTTTGTTACCAGCTACAAGAGACGTTCAGGAAAGCCTTGCCAACCTTGCTGGCTGCAGAAGAAATGGGCCGGTGAGGCAGGTGTCGGAGTGTGTGAGGCCAGGCTACAACTGTCCAAAGGTAAGCAGTACGGCAGCTCCGCCCTCCACATCCCCACCTTAGCTTAATTTTTTACCTGTCCACTCGGGAGTTGGCGAGATCTTAATTAGGGCTTATTTTAGGGATAGGGCTTATACTGGGCACACGTGTAACTATCAAGCTATGACTTACTTTCAGGGTAGGTCGTATTTTCGGAGAAACAGGGTAAGTTAGAAAAACCAGGAAGGATGTGAGCCAGTGAAACAGAGCTAGCATGTCCCTTGGGGGCGCAATTCAGGGACTTCCTTCACACAACACGCAGGCATGTTGCAGGATCACGCCATCTCACCCTTTTTCAAAAGCTGGTCAATCTCTGCCCTTCATTTTCTTTTCTTTTTTTGCTTAGACTGCAGGCAACAGTTAGTCAGAAGCAGAGAGAACCAGAAGGAAAGCCAAGCAAGAAAATGACCGGCTGAGTTGAATTATTTCGTCTTTCTCTTTTCGCTGACTTCAATCTGCCATGCAAGGGACTCCGTTGTTAAGCAGCGCAGAGGAGATTAATGATTTTAAAAAAAAACCCGACCGGATGTATGAACGCATGGACAGGGGTGGAAAAAAATAAAAATAAAAACAGCCAATAGGATGGAAGCAATGGACAGCCGCCTCTGTCACACAAAAACCATTCGTGCAGAGAGAGGCAAGATACTAACCGGTCCAGGGTGGTTAAGGATTCAGTGTCAGGACTTTTGGGGGGGAGCGAAAGGAAAACGGGGGAGAAAAATAATATAGGTAGATATAAATGAAAAGACAACGAAGCACACAGAACCAGAATTGAGAAGAAAAAAAACAACATCCTAAGAGCAACTCGACAGAGGGGAGTCAAGTCAGCAAACTCAATGGAGCTGGGAATTGGGGTGAAAGGGAGGGAAGGGGGGGCACGTGGGCAACGCCGGACCCAAATAAAAGGGAGAATGGCTCCAATTCCTTCGTTAACAAAAGCAAAGAAGAAGCCTCTAGGCCAGGGGTCTCCAACCTTGGCCGCTTTAAGCCTGGTGGACTTCAACTCCCAGAATTCCCCAGCCAGCAGACCCCTGCTCTAGGCCAATGGTGTCAAATTCAAGCCTCGGGGGCTGGATCCAGCCCACGGGGCCACCCTGGAAACAGTGAAGGACCGGCCCGCGGTGACTCTGCCAGCGAAAACGGAGCTCAGGAAGGCTGCACGCGGCCCTCTCCACGCTCCATTTTGGGCCGTGACGGCCTCCGGCCCTCTGCCGTCGAAAACGGAGCCTAGGGGAGGCTGCGTGCAGAGGGCTGCAGGAGGCCGTCATGGCCGAAAACAGAGCCTCGATGAGTGACCTCAAGACCTCAAGTGACCACCCCCACAACGTCAAACAAGCCCTGATGCAGCCCTCAATGAAACTGAGTTTTGACACCCCTGCTCTCGCCCGAGCGGGAAGCTGCGCAGGGGGCTGGAAGACGCCGCCAATCCACACGAATCTTGCTCGATAGCCCCCAGGAGGCTGCAGGGAGCCTATAGAAGGCTGAGGTCTTGGCTTCCTGAGAATCTCTTTCTTTCCCCTGCCTCTGATCATCCAGACTCAGGGGTGGAAGTGTTAGTGCTGCTTTATACATCCTAAGGCCATGCCTGGAGTACTGGCATCCATTTTTGGTCACCCCATTACAAAAAAAGATGTTGAGGCTTTGGAAAAAGCGCAAATAACAGCAACTAAGGTGATTAAAGGCTGGAGACCAGGGGTGGGATTCTACCAGTTCGCACCTATTCGCTAGAACCGGTTGTTAACATTCTAAGCAGTTCGGAGAACTGGTTGTTAGAAGAAATTACTGGCCTAATCCTGTAAGGAAGGCAGGAAGGAAACATTCTGGTGTTGCTTACAGAAACTGCCTCTCCGTTAACCCTTATTACATTCTTTGCAGGACCAGACTTCCTGTCTCAGGAACCTCTCTGGAGTTTTTTCCCCCTCCTTTGCTGGTACTTTGCTTGTGTGGAGTGACCAAAGTTACAATGGCACTGAAAAAAGTGACTTATGACCATTTTTCACACTTACGACTGTTGCAGCATCCCCAGTCATGAGAGGCCAGGCAAGGAGATGCGTGCCTCGATGTGAGTGATATTGGTTGGCCACGCCCAGCCAATAACATGACCACCAAGCCATGCCCACCACCTAAGCCATGCCCACAGAACCGGTTGTTAAAAATTTGAATCCCACACCTGTCCAGACTGTATGGATTTAAAGCAACAGCTGAATGTTACGGGGCTCGGACGGCTGAATTCTAATCAGTCGACAATTTCCTGAGAGTTAAAACTGAGGCCCCTGATCCTTGCAAATGAGCGAGATTTCCTGTCCCACGGTGCAAAACAGAGCCGACTGTAGAATTTCAGCTCGTAAGAATTCAGCTTCCAAGGAAAAGCGCAGCTAGACTCTGACACTATCAAAGGGGTCTGGATGGCACCAGCTAAGGATGCTGCCCAGAATCCCCAATGGAGGGAAGAGATGGGTGGCAAAGAAATGAAATAGAATTAGAATGAATGAGCTAGAAGGGACCCTGGAGGTCTTCTAGTCCAGCCTCCTGCTCAAGCAGGAGAACCTATACCATCTCAGACAAGTGGCTGTCCAATCTCTTTGTAAAAACCTCCAGTGATGAAGCACCCACAACTTCTGGAGGCAAGCTGTTCCACTGGTTAATTGTCCTCCCTGTTTGGAAGTTTCTCCTTAATTCCAGGTTGCTTCTCTCCTTGGTCAGTTTCCCTCCATTGTTTCTTGTCCTGCCTTCTGGTGCTTTGGAG